GCTGTATTTTACATATACGTGCTGTATTTTACATATACAGTCCATATGTTACATATACGGGCCATATGTTACATATACGGGCTATATGTTACATATACGGGCTGTATGTTACATATACGGGCTGTATGTTACATATACGGGCTGTATGTTACATATACGGGCTGCATTTTACACATACAGACCATATGTTACATATACGGGCCATATGTTACATAAACGGGCCATATGTTACATATACGGGCTATATGTTACATATACGGGCTGTATGTTACATATACGGGCTGCATTTTACATATACTGGCTGTATTTTACATATACGGGCTGTATTTTACATATAGAGACCATATGTTACATATACGGGCCATATGTTACATATACGGGCCATATGTTACATATACGGGCTGTATGTTACATATACGGGCTGCATTTTACATATACAGAGCATATGTTAGATATACGGGCTGTATGTTAGATATACGGGCTGTATGTTACATATACGGGCTGTATGTTACATATACGGGCTGTATGTTACATATACGGGCTGTATGTTACATATACGGGTTGTATGTTACATATACGGGCTGCATTTTACATATACAGACCATATGTTACATATACGGGCTGTATTTTACATAAACGGGTTGTATTTTACATATACGGGCTGTATTTTACATATACAGACCATATGTTACATATACGGGCCATATGTTACATATACGGGCTATATGTTACATATACGGGCTGTATGTTACATATACGGGCTGTATGTTACATATACGGGCTGTATGTTACATATACGGGCCATATGTTACATATACAGACCATATGTTACATATACGGGCTGTATTTTACGTATACGGGCCATATGTTACATATACGGGCTGTATGTTACATATACGGGCTGTATGTTACATATACGGGCTGTATGTTACATATACGGGCTGTATGTTACATATACGGGCTGTATTTTACATATACGGGCCATATGTTACATATACCGGCGATATGTTACATATACGGGCTGTATTTTACATATACGGGCTGCATTTTACATATACGGGCTGTATTTTACATATACGGGCCATATGTTACATATACGGGCTGTATTTTACATATACGGGCCATATGTTACATATACGGGCTGTATGTTACATATACGGGCTGTATGTTACATATACGGGCTGTATGTTACATATACGGGCTGCATTTTACATATACAGACCATATGTTACATATACGGGCCATATGTTACATATACGGGCCATATGTTACATATACGGGTTATATGTTACATATACGGGCTGTATGTTACATATACGGGCTGCATTTTACATATACAGAGCATATGTTACATATACGGGCTGTATGTTAGATATACGGGCTGTATGTTACAT